AAATGGTCCCTGCATGGCCCTGTTGGTCGGGCCCACTCTACACTGAAACATCAGAAATGAGAAACCAGCACCTTTTTATTTCTATATTATTTCCCAGTATGACCACGTAAAAATTTCCTCTTCGGGCATTGATCCTTCAGTAATTACACCAGCTGAAACGTCGCATGTAAGGATGTAATTAATCTCTTGCATAGATCAAGGCGTGGGAGAAGCGTGACGCTGAAGTCTCCTGACAGCAGAAACTCCAGCTCTCCTCTATTGGCATCAGGTTACCAAGTAGGCCGGTGCCAAGTGGGTTAGAGTGGAGCTGAGAGCGCAGCTGTGGCAAAATGCCAACACGCACCAACGCCGCCATCATCACTACCATCCCCTGTAAATACAGACGCCAGCATCTTCCACACTTGGCACAATGTTGACGCCTCCGTTTCCGCTCCACTGGAAGCAAAACCCTCTCTATTTCACCTAAAAATATGATATATTGTATACACCGTTTTTCCAGACTATAGAGCGCACCTCACTTTAAGCCGCACCCATAAAGTTTTTTTAAAACTGAAAACGTACATAAAAGCCGCACTGGGCTAAAAGACACCAATACCAACTGAGCTGTCCCCCACCAAACCTGTAGGGGGCGCTCTACATATATCCCCCTAGAGTAGGGACGAAGAAGAATATTAGCTCCTGTTAGCTTGTTGGCTCGCAGCAGTAAGAGCTTTTAAAGATGAGGGTTAGTCAGCTCTTTACAGGAGTTGAGACCAGTCTGTTCACTGGTTCAACAGCTTTAATACGGCAAATAAATGTTAAAATGTGTGAATTCGGGACATTTGTTCTAGTTCTCATTTGTTCTGTTGTGCCTGCTGCTAGCATGTTTTTGTGCCAATTGAAAATTAGCCCCTTCATCTTTGATTTCCATCTTTGACTTTACATTAAGTAAAGCAGTTAGGAAAATCCACAGAAAAGCTGCACCTTCATATAAGCCGCATGGTTAAAACCGTAGAAAATTCAGGTATTACACAAATCCATTATACATATTCATAAAAATGTAAATAGTTTTAATTTAATGTTATCAGGTTAAACAACATAACTACAAATGCATGCCACACTTTTAAAAACTGCTCCAATTCACTTGGATCTATGTAAAATCCCATTAGCATTAACATTTGTTGTAACATAAACAAATTTGAAAAGGTGAAGGTGCATGGGTATGTTAGCAAGACATGTAATAGCTTTTCAGTTAACTACTTGGTTTTTAATTATAGGAGTATTTAACCAATAAAAGAGCTTATTTAGGGATCAGATGTCTTCCAGGCAAGTTAAGAAGCTCCTCAACTTCCCCTGCGTCGGCCAATTTTCCTCAAAAGGTCATCTGCTGCCGTATTTCCAGATGCGGCCCCCTGGTCGCCCTTGATAAAACAAAGCCAGCTGATGAACCAGTGAAAAGGAAAGATTTACTGCTCTCTCTCTCCATCAAAGCGCGGGGACCCTCCTTCAAACCTCAGCTGTTAAAGCAGCTTGTGCAGCTGCTCAGAGCACCAGACGAATCTGATTTCTGCATGAATATTTCAGCTGCAGGAAAAGCACGGCGGCGGCGGCCACCTGCCACCTAAGCCCATAAATGCTCTAACACTGCTAAGTGGCCTGAGCCAGCTTCTGTGTCCTCCCCCCCGCTATCGGCTTACACTTCCTACCTCGGAGGCCTCTTGGAAGGTTGAGACTCTTTCTAGGTTTACTGTTTTGCATTCGATACTTAATCATATCGACTCCTTAATTTACAAAATTGATGTAGTGAAAGAACTGTGTTTACCCTTTGGGGCTTTATAAGAGGTAGTGTCGAGTTATGCATCTGTTCATTGATCAAAATGTAAGAAGTGAACACATTTGTTCTGTTTTCCAAGCATTTTGACAGGCAATCTAGGTGAGTGGTTCCTCGGGAACATCATTGACCTGACAGACACCTGATATCTGCAGACACAGGAGAAGGGCTTTGAGAAACAGCTTTCTTTTACTTCTAATCACAGTATCAGGTTCGACAACACAGAGTGGTGTCAAAAAAAAAAAAAAAAGGAAAAGAATTCCATTGGGTTTCTTAGATATCCTTAAGCGTTTTACACTCGTTTTACTCACTCCAGGTATTTTCTCTCCATACCTGGGCCTTGTTCAGACCTGCCAGCGACTGGTTCTCACACACTGAGCTGCTGCATAATAAGCACACGTTTCATGAAGTCCATGAAAAAACACTGACCTTTGTGCATCAAATTTATTTTGTAGATTCATTATTAAGAAATTCTCTGATTGGAGGAAATATTTATATAGTGGGTTTTAATTCTCCAGGAAATGCTTCAAAAAGAAAAAAGGTGAGTTTAATTGAATTTTGAAAAAAAACTCTCCTAATTTAAATGGTAAATGGCATGTACTTATATAGCGCCTTTATTCAAGTCAGGAGACTTGACCAAAGTGCTTTACATTCATTCACCCACACACTCACACACTGATGGTGGCAAGCTACATTGTAGCCACAGCTGCCCTGGGGCTCACTGACAGAAGCAGGGCTGCCGTACACTGGCGCCACCGGGCCCTCTAACCACCCTCTAACCACCATCAGTAGACAATGCAGGTGAAGTGTCTTGCCCAAGGACACAACGACACTGAAAGTCGGAGTCGGGGCTTGAACCACCAACCCTTCGATTTCAGGGCAAACTCCTACATCCAACGCCACTGTCGACCATTTAGTGATGAAGCTCAGGATTCCTTCCTAACATTATTCATAGCGGTTTATCTTTTGTTTAGAAATATCTTTCTCTTTACATGATGCAAAAATAGATACAAACTTCTTGCATGAGCTGCACTGTATGGGCCTTTGTGTGTCTGCTTTTATTTTGTGCAAAACCTGTGCAAAAACAGAGCAGATTGCATCGCTGCAGATTTATATCCTTTTCTTTTGGAATTTAACTTTTGCAAAGGACGTGCTCGATGCTGGCGTTTCCATTTCTCGCCGTAAAATGAACAGCGAACTTCATCAGAAACCTTATTTTAGTTAAAATAAAACAGATGGAAAATCAGGAATTGAAACAAGAAGAAATGGATCAAGTCAGTTTATTTAGTAATAAAAACTGCATTAATTAAGGATTTAAACATTGATGCTTTCAAATGTGCATTACCCATTGTCCATGTTATAGTAATTGTTTTAACGCAGATTATCTTTATTGCACTTCTAGCTGTAACAGATCATAAAACTCACGTCTATCGTGTTTAAAACACTGATTCAGGCAAACGAGCTGCTCTAAATCGTGCAATCATACATGAATTAATGGCGGTATCGGTCCAAACCTCGGTGCTCTCTGCATCTGTTCACCTTCACGGTGGAAATGTTGAATGCAGAGGAAGTGCTTATCTGAAGGAGGAGATTGTAACCTCTGTTTGGAGGTGACCAGGAGCTGCCTGGTGTGTGAACGCAGCTCACTAGAGCCCCCTTCTGGTCAGAAACCAGATCTCATCAGCCCTTCCATGACAGCACGTGGAGCTGACCCTCTTTCATCCTCATTTGTCACATTGATTGCAGGAATGTAGTTTTAGGAAAACAACTGATGGAACGAAAACCGGTTTTTGGGACAATGATGACTGCATTATTGTTTTTGTTTTTTGTTTCCACTATTTAATTTCCACTATATATTAAATTTGTAGCACACATGTGAAATTATAGCTATTACTTTTTTGACCAAAATATAAAACGCTACTTTCTATCAGTTATTGAATTGGTTAATCACCAGCTACCAATAGTTATTATTTATCATTCAGGTCTTAATGCACCTCACTAAAGCCGGTTTTACTTTTTTGTATATGTTTTTCAACTTTGCAAATATTTTTATGCGTTTTGTTCAAAGTATTCTTTGAATTGCTTTTGGAGTTTTACTAAACTATTATTTCCATTTAATCGATAAGGACTCCTGCAATATTTATGCGTTGTTTCCAGAAAAAAAAAAAAAAAAAAAAACAGCTTTTAAAAGTTTCATCCATTGATCAGAAATATATCAACATGATATTTAGAACCTGTCTAAATAGGCCTGTTTTTCCATGGGCCAGATGTTTACCAAAGGATCTAAATGCAAGTAAAAACCTTTGGATGTCTCTGTTTCCCAGCTTGGTTCTTCTTCCCAGTTTCTTATCTGTATTCAGGGAAACGGGTTGAGAGCTTCCCAAGCTGAATCTCTGAGGCTTTTTTTTCCTTTTATTATTATTTTTTGCAGTGCTGCTTCTCCCCAAATTGCGACTGACTTCTCACTTTCTTGATGGCTAAACTGACTGAGCTTTAGCAGCTTTAGATGAGTTTTTTCCCCTGACTCTATCCTCCCACTCCCTTGTGAGTCATTTAGTGGAGCTCCATGGGTCTGTCTGCCATCGGAGGCTCCCCTCAGCACTTCTGTCTCTCTGTGGTTCTCCGCTGAGGCTGCCAGCTAATGAATCCCTAGAACGTGAAAAGGAAAATCAGCAAACACAGACGGCTGTAATGATGAAATGCTCTGTTAGGGATCACAGCTGGGTCTTAGTTTGAACTGCCTGGATGTTTTAACTTTAGTCTGAGGCGTTGATAAATACTGTGAGTAGGCCTGAAACAATTAATCATATTAATCGATAATTGAAATAATCGTCAACTAATTTAGTAATCGATTAATCGTTAACTGGAATATAGAGACTGTAAAATATGCCTTTAGCTGACAGAGCACTTAGGCAAAAATATATAAAAATGTTCCGTTTAAGATGATAAAAAAAAGTTTTAGTTTCACTTCACTAAAGAACATTTTGCTATCCAATTATTAATCAATCAGTTGAAAAAAAGAATTGACAGATTGTTTTCGGTGCCTGTTTTTATTACTGACTACAATAAAAGGATCCTGCTCTCATCTTTCTACATGTAGTCTTCTGTAGTTCTTGGACCTCAACTACAGATAAATACTTTTTCTATTGTTTTTTTAATCATTATTCATTGTTTTCATCCTGTGTTTCAGGATGTATCCAATCAAAGAGGTTCCTGTGGAGGCCGAGGCCCTGACTAATTGGCTGTATCAGCGGTTTGTGGAGAAAGAAGAGTTGTTGGCCCACTTCTACGACACAGGTATGTCTGACCCGGTGGTTTGTTCAACAGAACTGGGTCATTATCCTGCAGGAAAAGCTCGTTCCAGTCACTTTGATCAGAACCAAATCATGTTTTTCTTCCTCCTCCAACAGGATCGTTCCCTCCTCCAGAAGGCCAGAAGGTGGCAGCCTCCCGGCAGATGACCCTTGACCCTGTGTGGCTGTGCATGGTCCAGTCGTTTGCTTTTGCTTCTGGCTACATGTGGTACAATGTCTTTCAGTACCTCTACTGTTGTTTATTTTGAGTGCGCGGACGAGCTGGGCGTCTTTATTGGACCGCTGGAAAAGCCTCAGGATCAGTCGCCGTTTGTGTGTGTGACCAAGTGTCACACTCAACCCTGCACCCCCACCCCCCTTACGATGGATGAATGTACATCTGCAGGATAGGAGAGACCGCTTTGGAAGCAAGGAAAAAACTAATCATAAACACAGATTTCAGTCCATAAAATACAAAAAAAAGAGGAAAAACAGTCACACACATAGGTGTCGCACACAGACCCTACGCCACACACTCGCTGCAGCGAGAATAATCTCCCCCCATCCCCTCACTATTCACATTTTAATGTTTACACGTCCTCATACATGTAGACACTTACATGACTTTTATTGGAAGGTGATGAAACGAGGCTCAGGACTCCTCCAGAAGATGCTCTGGACCGGACTCTCTCCCCGTCTCCGAGGCTTCAGCCGTAGTAGTTTTACAGAGTATGCAGTACATCTGGACATGTTTGTGAACAGAAATACGTTCGACTAGAAGCTAACCCCACCCCCTTCCTCGATTTCCTTCCCTGTGAGAGTCGCCGAAGCCTCCCCGGACCTCTCCGTAAGCCCGCCGATGATTCAGCTGGCTACACGTTGCAGGGCGAGTGGCTGCTTAGATGTTGAGGCGACGCAGCCGGCCGCTCCTCTGGCCTTCATTGCACTAAGGATCCATACTGCCCTAACTGCTCCCCACCCCTGGAAAGACTTCAAAATGGTAGCTGTCAATCTTTAAGTTTATTTTACGTTCTTCCTTTAACCCGCATATCTTCACAACATCCGCCATTGTATATGTTTTGTTTTTAATCATCAGGACCTTCTGTCGATGTGTCTGTTGTGGCAGAGCTTGCTGAAAAAGTGGGATTTATGTTTTTTTTTTTTTTATTTGGTATACCGCAACAAAAACCTAAAGGGATTATTGCTACGATGCATTGTTGGAGGGAAAAAAAGACGGGACTTTCCTTAACATTTATTTAAATAAATAGGTTTTATTTAAATTAATGAGAAATTGTTTTTAAAAATTTAATGCAGCAGGAAAAGACGAGCAGACTGCTTGTGTAAAACTAACAATGCTGTGTGGAATATTTTACCCCTTTTTGACTTTTTTTTTCTCCGATATTTACACTTAAACGCTTCAGAACATAAATGCAACTTTATTATTTGGCAAAGACTAATAATAATAGTAAAAGCTATTTTAAATTTAAATACTGGCAAATAAAGCTGCCACCACCAACCTGCCCTATGTAGAAAAAAAAACAAAGATGATAAAAATTATCCTCTGCATTTTATACCCATAACTGGGTATCAAAGGCACTCTAGCATTAGCCCTAACAATCATGGAGTAATTTTCATTCGCAGAACTGTTTTATTTTAGCCTAATTTCTACTTATTTAAAGTCATATCACTCCATCAGATTTAGGCCAGACTTTTACAAAGCTACTTTGATCCTTGTTTTATTTTTTACCTCATTAAATTAGTTTTCTGAGGAACTTTGGATTACTTCTCTCCTTTAATTAATTGGGTTCGAGTTAAAGGGGGTGAATTGGACCTTCTGCTTCACGATCTGCTGCTAGAGAGCAGAATTGTTGGTTCTGTGAGTTGCACCAAGTCATAATCGTAAGCTTATCGGCTATTTCCATTAGCGAGGTGCGACAGTCCGTACTGTTCTCGTTGGTCCGCTGTCGCTCACTCGCTTATTGTGGAATAGCAGAGAAGAGCTGCGCTCTGGAAGTTATTTGTTTCTTCGTGATCTCCTGAAGGAGACGCTCAGCTGTGGCGTAATTCTGATTGACCGGCTTCTTATGAAAAAGGATTCGGCAGCATTTGTTGTTTTTATTCGTCTACTTTGTTTTATTTCGGCTTTCATTTAGGTGATTCTCGATTCAAATGTTCTAAGTGACTTTGAACAACTTAAATGTGGTCAAACCCAATGAATTTACTCACAAAAGGGTTTTTCACACAGGGCCTGGTTTTATTTGGAGAACTTGTTTTCTCATCATTATGAACGAGGTAGTTATTTGAAAACTACTCAGGTTATCGGCCTATTAACAGTTTGATGATCTGAATCCTTTAATTGTGATTTTTTTTTTTTTTGATTAAATGATGGATAATTGTGAAAAGGGTGGAAAATCTTCGACAGCGCCGTCCCTCGTGGGTTCCTCCTGTTATCCCTCCACCTCATCTCCCAAACTGAATTACACTCATGTGTTGATGCAGGAGATTAAACTTTGGTCCTGATAGTAATTTCAGCAAGGCTGAGTGGAGAAATCAGATGTTTAAGCCATAAACTACTTATCGTTCCTTGATTTTTTATTTTTATTTTATTATTTTTTTAATAGAAAGCTACCCTAATGTTTAGCATTCTACATTAGAGATTTTGGCCTACAGAGTTCTAGGTGTCATAACTGTAAATTTACAGCATAACTTGCCTAAATGAGTGTGTGTGGTCGTCTTTACCCCCATTTTTATAAATAAGAGTCATGTCGTGTTGCTCTGTGACGTCACAGTTTTCAAACCATTTCACCTGCAGTGGTCATTATTGTTCATTTCATTTTCTTTTCTTTTTTTTTTTAATTAGATCATTAGGTTATTTCTTCATGTCATGGTATGTTTCAATCTTGTACATAACAAAGTTGAGAAAATGTTAGAAATGACTGCAGTGTCTCTCATTGGTGGTTTATTACAAGTAAAAAAAAAAATCTTATTTTGAAATATGAATGTTTAAGTATAAAAGAAGGATTTTACCTTAACTTTACAGTATTACCCTGTATTTTATTGTTTGTTTTTATTTTTGGAAAATGTGTATAGCTGCTGAATCTCTGTGTGCTGTGACACATGGGGCCCCAGTTGCAAACTGTTAAAATACTAATAATTATTTAGAAGAAGAGATCTCAAGCCTTACCGGACGTGCCGGTTGAATACAATCTTAAAATGCTGTTTTCCTCCCGTTTCCTCTTAATACCGATGGGGTTTATGTTTTTTTTATTTTATTTCTGAAAATGGTTCTGAGGTGTTGAAAGGAAGTCGGTGAATAGGAAAGGAGCGGCTCGTCATGCAGACGAGGGAAGCTCTCTCGAATGTACACGTGTCGTGGTTTTTAAGGTTGGTATTAGTGACTTTCTTTGAGGAGCAGTAGTTCTTGTCAAACTAATGCAAAAAAAAAAAAAAAAGGTGCATAGTTGCTGCCCTCCTGCTGTGCCACTGTTGGTAAAAACTGTGTGAAAAAAGGGCTACCTGATTAGGTAGGTGAAAACATTTTGAATCAGACTGTAAATGTGTTTCATCCACTGTCCCCTCTCAGACCCCCCCTCCCCTTCATTGTGAGAGTGACTTGAAATAAAGCATAATCTTTCTGCTTTTATTTTTTTGACTTTAATTTTAATGTTTTCGCCATGTTTCCAAAGAAGGCAGGGAAATGTTTGCCAAGATGTGGTTTTAGGACATGAACAGGATAGAGATTAAAGCATATGCTAGAACCGTCTCTGATTTTCCATTTTGTACCTCTCCTTTTAATTCCTAGCTACACAGCCATTTTACAACACAAACAACTTGTGCTGGAATAAAACATCATAAAGATCCTAACGGTGTGCAGCTCTTTTCTTCTTTATATCCTTTGCATTAAACTGATGATGGAAGCCTGGTTCCTTTGAAAACTCAGTAATATAAGCAGCAATTAAAAAGCATGATTTAGACAGTTTATTCAAACCTTTTTATGTATGAATCTTAAAAACTAGAATTAATGGAATTAATCAGGAATATGTAAAGGTTATTTAAGTTAAAAGGCACAATTAGTATTACATTTTTTTGTTCTGTTAACATCTTGTTTTTATTATTGTCTTTTCCAAACTGCTTTTAATTAAAACGTATATTTCTTGATGAATAAACTAGTCAGGCTCTGTGGGATTGATAGTCCTCTTGCGTTTGGAAAGGGTTCCATTGCCGTTTCCTCCGTAAATGTTTGTGCCCTTGTGCAATGCACTAAAAGCCATGTTGCCTACCTATCAGTTGTAGTGGTGCAACTGCTAGTGTATAGCACTTTTAATGGTCAGTATGGCTTAAAGAGTTTTGTTGATGTTCCATTTATAAAGACTAGTTACATAATAAGGCCATGAAAGCTAGCTACCAAAGTTAATGGGCAAACGTGTTAAAAACTAAGCAAATAAGATCAGTTTAAAGAAATGTTTGATTTTGTTCTGATGAAAGTTAGTTTTATGTCTTATTCTATTTATTTCTGCCCATATGTGTATGTAGTGCTGTTACAAATGTTACCTGCAAAGGATAGCATTGGCATCCAAGTGTAAACAAATATTCAAATTAGTTTATTTATATAGCGCCGATTCACAACACGTCACTTTAAGGCTCTTTAAAGTTCACCAGATCATAGAGTCAAATTGATTCAAAGTTTTCTATCTAAGGAAAACCAGTTGATTAATTCGAGTCATTGACTGGAAGGCAATCCCTCACACTAAGCATGCTTGTAGCAACAGTGGAGAGTAAAAACTACCTTTTAACAGGAAGAACCCTCCAGCAGAACCAGGCTCAATGTGAGCGGCCATCTGCCGAGGCTGACTGGGGTTCAAGGAGACAGAAGCAGAGATACAAAAAGCAGCTGTAAAAGGCGGCCCCGTCCAGGAAACACACAGCCAGGCAGACGAGCTCCGAGCCAGCTCCCATGCCAGAGGATGATATATGGAAATATGGACTCGTATGTATAACAATCATGTTCTCGAGGCAGTTTATCACCCAATTAAACATATTTGATATGAAGAAAAGGTATTTATTCAAAATGCAAAAAGAAAGGATAAATGGTTTGCTATGACTCATATTGAAATACAAGTCTTTAAAGTAATCAAGTAGACTTGGTTTGAAAAGATAACTTTACAATGAGTGTTTTTTTTTTTACTACAAACTTGTTAATGCAGGGGTGTTCAAGTCCAGTCCTTAAGAGCTGCTATCCTGCAACTTTTTGACGCAACCATTTTTAACACACCTGAATCAAATAAGTGGCTCGTTACCACACCCTTGCTGAGCTACATGAGGGGATTGAGGCTTTAGATTTAGGTGTGCTAGAGAAGAGATGCATCTAAAAGTTACAGGATGGCAGTTCTGGAGGACTGGACTTGAGAACCCCTGTGTTAATGCATTTTATTCAATCACACACAAACAAAAGGCTATATATTTTTTATTTTATCCTATTTAACGCCAGTTGCTTCAGGTTCAACATATAGAAAACCTATGAAGATGCAAAAATATTAAGGTAAAAAACTGCATGACTGTGAGAAGGTTGCAGGAACTTTTAGAAGTTCTTTTTTTTTTTTTTTTTTTTTTTAGTTTTCAAATAACTTTTTTTGTATGATTTGAGCATAAACAAAGGTTGTTCCAGCTCGGCCGTCTACCTGTTATTTAACTATGCTGTCTGTGTAAGCAGTTTATAGTAGCTGGATTTCGTTACATGGCTCCTATTTCAGGCGTTAATTCAAGCGGACACTTGACATGATGACTGTTTACACTTCAGGCATGAAATCAAAACCTTCATATTCACAGATTACATTAGTAGCCTTAAAATTGTGACTTTTGTCCCATTATTAGAAATCCTGCTTTGTTTATCTGCAGAAATGTTATATTTCTTCCTAATATTACAACATTAATGACTACTATCATTTCTCTTATACCATATAAATTAATGTTTGCCTGTAACTGACTTCTTAAAATCCTTAGTTGGCAGTTTATGAAAGTTTTTTGAGCCCTGAATGAATTTGAGTGACAGTAGTAGGTCAGGTCTGCAGAAAAGCCAAACGCTTTGAGCAGAAAATGAGAACTGAGGCTGAACAACAGGAAGCGAGCTGGAAAATAGGATTAAATATGCACTGAGGTTTACCAATACGGCCAGGAGACGAGGCAGGGTTTTCCACATGGTGTGTTTATAGAGCAGGAAGAGTTCTCCAAACAAGAGAAGATGAAGGTCATCCATCTGGGACGGATAAATACATTTCAAGACTAACATTAATGTCCTCTGCAGATACACCAGTGTTCATGTCCGGACACCTGCTCTGAAGTATTGCATTGGGGGGGCTGCTCCCTGAGGTCCCCAATGTCACACTTTAATGTCTCGCCTTTGGTGGATGCTTCAGAGAGGCGACGTTCCCTGACTCAGCAAGCAGTAAACCATCCAGGTGTGAAGAGGAAGGCCGTCCTGAATGTCACTGCAGCGGTCACACATCTCCAGCAAATCAGAATCGGTCAACAATAATGGGTTGTATTGATTTAGGAATGTGTTTTTTTTTTTTTTATTGCCGGATGTATTGTGTTTTACTTTCATTGGAGCCATTAGATATATTTATTTATATGAGGAATAAAGGGGGAAGGTGGAAAAGAGGGATGGGATTTTTCCCATGGAAGTCCATAGTAAAAAAACTTTGACTAGCCTCTGCCTTCATGGATGCCATACCTTTGAAGAAAAGTTGAAATAATAAGCCACCTTTGTTTTCGTCTTTTGCTTCTTTTCAGCATTTTAAGCCCTTTTTGCAACCATGTAAAACTCCACTTGTAGAAACTTTTCTTCACCATTCAAAATATTTTTTGTAGGAGTGTTTTTATCTAGCTGACTAGTCAGAGCCAATAAATATTTCTATGAAGGAAAACATTCCAAACATTCTTACCATAAATCTATAGCAAGCCAAAAAAAAAAATTAAAAAAACGCCTCCTCACAAAAGAATTAAGACTAAACAGAATATTGTAAAACATAATAATATGTTGAGAGAACTCAATTCAGATCCAGAAAACCATTTATTATCCATTTATTCCAGTTTTTAGGTCTTAAAAACATCATTCCAGCAGAAAAGTGAAGTTTTGATCCAATTACATCACTTTTCATTTGTAGTCTTGTCTTGATGGCTCTTCAATTCAAATTCTACCCTGATATAGAGAGTTAGAGGTCACAGAAGGAGCAAAATAGATTATTAGAGGTTACTGTGGGGTGGAGCTGTCCATCCTTCCTGCTTCTCTGCTTCATATAGTGCTCTCTCACAGCGGCAGATGACATGAGAGTCGCCCAGGGCACCCGGCCTTCTCTTGTTTTGTAGCTGTCAGTTTTACAGTCTCTCACCCCTCCTGCAAATGTTTCTGGCCACTATCCAAGCTCTTCCAGCTCTTTAGAGGAATGACCTTTGCAGACAAACAGACCGACGTGGGAGCTCAATCGGTGTGTGTTGGCTGGCATGGGGAGAGAGCTGAGAGGATAATCTGAACTGTTACCAAGGCTGCTGCCCCACTGATCAGACTGTCAGCGGGCAAAAATCACAGTCCATTTATCCCAGGAAGGGTTCACACATATAGAGAAATCATCCTTAGACTTAGGCTTAGACAATACACTATGAAATGTATACACTTGGTGTATACATTTCATTTTGTACAGCTCTCATGACATTTCCATTTCTTAAAGTGCAGAAGTGATCAAATGTAAACATAAGAGTGTGATATGATTTACAGTTTTTCCAACATTCAGCTTTTTTTTTTTCTTCAGTTTCACCATTCAGAAGTCTGATGGCAGTGGGGAAGAAACTATTTTGGAATCTGTGAGATGACCATCATCAATGACCCTGACAGGATCATTGATGATGTTATGGGCTCGGGAAACGCAGCACTGGGATGAAATGTCTTTCATGGAAGGAAGAGGAGCCCCATGATCTTCTCTGCTGTTCTCACCACTCTCCTCACCTTCTTCCAGTCTGAGGTGCTGCAGCCTCCACATCATCCAGTGAGACAGCTGGTCAGAACGCTCTTTATGGTGCTTCTGTAGAAGGTGGTGAGGATGGGTGGGGGCAGGTGGGCTCTCCTAATCCTCAACAGGAAGTACATGTGCTTGTGCCCTCACTTTTCAGTGAGGTGGTGTTTCCACTCCAGGTAAGGGTGTCTGTGATGTGCACCTCGAGGACATTGGTGATGCTGACCACCTCTACAGCTGAGCTGTTGGTGAGCAGTGGAGCTTGGTTAGGCCGATTTTTCCTGTCAACAATGATCTCCTTCGTTTTCTCCACGTTCAGGATCAGTCTGTTATCTCTGCACCAGCTCACCAGCTGCTCCACCTCCTCTCTGTAGTCCTGGTCACTGTTGTCTCTAATGAGGCCCACCACCGTGGTGTCCTCTGCAAAGTTAAAGATGTGATTGGTGGTGAACCTGGGGACTCAGTCATGTGTCATCAGGGATGTTGTTTAAAGCTGAACTGAAGTCCAGGAACAGCATCCACACTTGGGTGTTCTTCTC